AATCTATCTATCTTCCAATGCTGCTGAGGTGTATCAGGTTCTGTGCCAGCACAAGGAATGTTAAGACACATGATCTGTATCAAAGTCTATTATCTGGCTCTGAGATCATTGAAACTTTTAATGCCCCTCCCTGAGAGGCATAGAGGTGAACTTCCCTGGATGAAGTCAACTTGCCTGGAACCATTGGCCTCAGGGACCTTTTCCATGTTGGCTAAGATGCATGCGAAGTGGCTGTTCTCTTTCTGAAGAGCTACAGAGCCTTTTTTTTGTGTGTGTGTGTCCTTATTCAGGTGACAGTTTTGCTGCATTTGTGCTGCTACTACTTAAATGAGGTTGCTGCAGGAGCTGCTGCAGTTGCCCTAGCACCACGCACCATTCTGGTAATGGGGGCACAGTTACTTGCCCAGGGCTGAGCTTGTTGCCTCTCCCCCTTGCTGCCTGCTGGCCCTCAGCTGAGTTTCTGCTGCTTAGTGTGGCTGGGCAGATGTTTACAGTAGCAGCTTTCTTTTATTTTGAACCATTCTGCACATTTAAGAAAACAGCAGCAAGTTAAGCCTGCCTTGTTAACACTGTGCACTACTCCTTTCAGATTCTAGGATTCTGGGTGCTTGGGAGTTTTACAGTTGGGGTTTTTTTTTTGTTTGTTTGTTTTCTAAAAACCACTTTAGCTCCTCTGTGCCTTTGGAGCAGTTGCTATGGGAGGAGGATATGCAGTAACAGCCCAGCTGAAGTCTGGCTTCTTATTTCAATGCATGTTTTATACTTTTTGTTCTTCTTATGTGGTAGTGATGGCACTGACTTAAAATGGTAGTTAAAGAGATTTAGAGTTACTGTATGAACTGTTAAAACCAGTTCTCATTAAAGCCATGTTTATTTTTACTTTAGAGCTGTGGTTTTTATGTGATGAATGGTATAGGGGGACCAGAACTCTCTTGTAACCACTTCATGTCGTCCCCCCATTTTTGTCAGAGGACTTCCAGTGCTGTGGTGCAGTAGTGCCTTGCTCTGTTAGTGCAGATACATCAGGGTTTCCTGCTGCTGCTCAGCCTGGCACACTGAGCATGGGTAGAGTGCTTCAGCTAGCGAGTCAAGATGCTGGACAACACTAGCCCAGAGCCAGCTTACAGTGCAGAGCAGAAGACAAGCTAGCCCCCAAGCCAGGGTTCAGATCTCTGTTTTCCACCTTGCTTCTCCCAGCAGTCAGGGTTTCAGGCCAGTATCCCACTGAAGTGTTTAGAACACAGGGCTGTATTCCCAGCTGTAAGGGGCCAGGGCTTGAAAGAATTCCCCCTACGGGGGCACAAGTTGCTCCCTTCACCCCACTCCCATGCCCAGCAGCTCCATCAATCCTGCAAGCAGCACTTGCCCGAACTCTCAGCAAGTAAGCGTGATGGATTTTGGGTGGGGAAGCACAGGCTTTCAGTAGCAGAAGTAACAGATAAGCAGAAGGTTGCAGATCACAGGAGGAAGACTGACTTCGCTTGATTAAGTTATGCTTTTAACAGCCCTGCTGTTATCTGGAGTGGCAAATACCTGCACTGTTCAACTACAGTTCAGTACAAGGCCTCTGAGCAGCAGCATTCACTGTCTCTTTCCCCTCTCAGCAACAGCAATAGCATTTTCATACCTCTAAGGCTTTCCCCCAGCAATACCACCAGGCAGGGAGAGATCAAGCACAGCAACAAGACGTTCTACTTCAGGCTTAGGGTCATTTCTGCTCCTATCTGCTTCTGTTGCAGTAAGAGTGCTGCTGTCTGTGCAGGACATGCAAAGGTAGCTCTGTCTACAGGAGCAGCCAGAGACTGTTTGTCAGAGACACACCTTCATCCAGCCTTTTCAAAAAGCCCCAGCAACTGTTCCTAGCTGGAGACTCCAGACTGACATTTGCATTGGTGCTGCTACTGCCTCAGCTCCCTAAGGCCTCAGCCTTCCCCAATGAGCTCCTCCAGGGAGCTACTCTGAGAACTCCAGTATACAGATCCAGATATGGGGAACCCAAGCTCCAACTTCATCCTTTCTGATAACTGTTTTTAAAATCCTGATCCTTGTCCACATCCTCTCTCAGGCTATTCTGATGCCCCCTTGTTCCTTGGCCTCACTCTTTTCCCTCTAGCTTTACAGTTGTCATCTCCAGCCCAGCTATACCAAATACCTACCAATATTGCAGGCGATGTCACAGGTGCATCTGACCTGCCCTGTTACACCCAAAAAAAGGTTGCAGACCATCTAGGCAACAGCAGAATGAAGCTTACCTGTACAGTTCCATTCCAGCTCCTTATATGCTTTATACTCATGCAAATTGACTTTTTTTTACTCTAGAGATAAAGCATAAAAGCTTCCGGACAGCTACACTTTGGGAGAAATAAATGAAAGCCCTGTATATCAAGTGGATTAAAGTCTTTTGTAAGCATCTCACTGAGAAGGACATATCTAAATAGTGCACAGTTCCAGGCTGAGACATCCACTACAATGATCAGTTAAATATTTCAAAGAGGTCTGAGGGAGAATTGGCAATACAAAGGCAGGAAAAAAGAATGATTAAAAGCTCCGGGGAAGAGTCCCAGCTGAGCAGAGCAGGCACGATGGAGGAGGAAATGTGTAAGTGATTCTATTAAAATGCTGGAGGGAAAATAAGAGGTAGGAGGGATGACTCAGCAGCAAGCTCAAGTGAGACATGATACAACACAGAAGGAAGATTGAGATGGCAACACAAGTTGGAAGGAAAAAAAAAGTAGGTGGTGCTGATGGAGGTGTGCTGCTGGCAGCTCAAGGAAGGAGTCAAGTAAGGTCAATACATTGCCAGGCTCAAGGGACTGAAATTCCTTTCCTAACTAGGAAGAGCAGAGCATTATGGCCAGGATGATAACAGCACCATGTTCTGGGAGAGACCCAGAGAGCAGAACTCAGCAATAGCATGCCCCAGCTACTCCCATGATCAGGGAGCATCCCAATGGGACATGATGTGGTTATGAATGTCTTCAGGCCCATCAGTGACTCCTTGAAACCACTGATCAGGAACATGCATTGGAGAAGCAGCTTTCAATTTACAGCTACTCCACAATACCTGAAAGGCTGGGTTATAGAATCATAGAATGTCTGGGCTGAGGGGACCTCCAAAGCTCCTCTAGTCCGACTCCCCCACCATAAGCAGGGACATCTCCAACTAGATCAAGCTACTCAGAGCTTCATCCGGCCGGACCTTGAATGTCCCCAGGGAGGGGGCTTCCACTACCTGTCTGGGCAACCTATTCCAGGGATCCATCACCCTCATACTGAAGAACTTTTTCCTAACATCTAACCTAAATCTCCCCTTTTCTAGCTTAAAGCCATTACCCCTCATCCTGTCACTACAAACCCTTGTGAACAGTCCCTCCCCTGCTTTCCTGTAGCCCCTCTCAGGTACTGGAAGGTCACTGTAATGTCCCCCTGGAGCCTCCTCTTCTCCAGGCTGAACAACCCCAACTCCTTCAGCCTGTCCTCACAGCAGAGCTGCTCCAGCCCTCTAATAATTTTTGTGGCTCTCCTCTGGACAAACTCCAACAGCTCCACGTCCTTCTTGTGCTGGGGGCTGCAGAGCTGGACACAGACTCCAGGTGAGGTCTCCCCAGGGCAGAGCAGAGGGGCAGGATCACCTCTCTCCATCTGCTGGCCATGCTGCTTTTGGTGCAGCCCAGGATTTGATTTGCCTTCTGATTGGGTCTTATGCACCACAAACGGACACAGTGTGGTGGCCAGCAGAAGACACTCAGTGCCAGTACTCCTGCAGACATACAAGGTCCTTGACAAAAGGAGAACCACAGGAAGACAAATGTCTTTTAAAAAGGAAGTTAAAAACAACTGGCTAGAAAGGATAAACTCCAGGTAGCTGGTACTTGCTTAAAGCAAAGATGAAGTTTGCTTAAAGCCATCCTAGAGTCTCGGAAAGGATGAGGAGAGACTGGGTTGGCAATAACCCTGTCGGCTCTTGGGACTGCTGCCCTGCCAGCATCACAAGCTTCAGACAGGAATTACAGCAGCCTGACTTAAGTCCATCCCTCCACCTACATGAAACAGAGAAAAAGTATTTGCTGTCTTCTGCAAAGGGAACCAGCCCACGCGTTGGGTGTGGAGGCATCAGTTCTTTATTAGTGTCAACTACAGGGAAAAATAAAACTACGGAACTTGTCACCTCCTGGGCAACTGACCCAGGCTGGGTTCCACACTACATTTCACAGGGGGCAAGAAGAGAACTAATGTGGGAATTTCTTAGGGTGCAGGAGGAAGCAATTCCACAAGGTTTACAACACACAAAAAATAGGATGGGGCATTGAAGGCAAGCCAGCATCACTGTATGGGCACAATTCCAAAAACACGGCAGGGTTCCTGCTGCTCTTCTTCACAGGCAATGTTCTCAGGGCTCACACTCAGTCCCAATGTCTACAAGAAACAGAGAACCCACAGAGGCAGTTTTCAGCTGCTAGAGGAAAAAATTCATACAGACAATATGAAGCTCACCTGAACTGGGATTAACAGTTTCCTTGAGATCATGAGTCAAGACAGTAGACTCTTCAAGGGCTACATGAGAGTCTGAGTTGCTTGTTAACGTGTCTGTGCCGGCCTCAGCAGCTGGACCAGCTCTCCTGAGCAAGCCCACACAGGACCACAACATTTTATAGGGTATCTACTGTCAAAGTTCTGCAAAAAACCACTGGGTAGACCCAAGAAAGGTTGTGCTGGTCCCCACTAGACATACAGGAAAGCAAGGTCCTTTCCTCTCTGCTTTTCTGGTTGCACAGTCATTGCCCTTGTCAACACAGACAAAAAACCCATACAGAACCAGGTCTCTGCAGCATGGTTAAGTCTGGAAAATGGAGGATGCAATCTAGGAAATGGAATACTGCAGTCAAAGATACTTGGTCTGGATGAGAAACTCAATCCCTACTTTCAGAGCCAGAAGCAGAGACCCTGAGCACAGCACCCCCAGGGTGGTGCCTACAACAGCTCCCTGCACGTACCTGGGGTCACTGCAGGAACACCACGGTGCTGCTCTTGTGTGACATCTCGGTGGCCTGGTGGGCTTGGAGAACAGCAACCGCTTCCTTGATCTTGCAAGAGAGCACAAGGCAAGGAGAAGTTGAGTTGCTCCAGTGTAGGAGCACATGGCACGGGAAGTGCCATATTCCAGGTCTTGATCCACTTTAAAGAGGTAAAGGACTTCAGTAATAGTAATTATAAAATCAAGTCTCCTGCTTCTGCAGAAGACTGATGACCCCAAAGAGCTCTTCTTTCTCTTGCATAGGGAAGTGCTGAGGCACCTCTCCTTTCTGATAGGAGTCAGGGAGAAATCAGACCTCTCTGCAGGTGAAGCTGCCTCACGCCACCCAGCAGAGCTCAGGCTCCTTCAGAAAAGATCAGTGGAAGGGTGGAAGTGAATCCTGTCTCCAAGGAGCAAAGAGATGCAGCCAATTCACTGCAACTGTTCCGATGGGAACCAAAGCTGAACACGCACCAGGATTAGGGAAGAAGCTAAAGAAGTGCTGCAGAGAGATAGTAGTTATCTCCTTTCTGTTCCCAGGAAAGAGCATCTCCCTATCTCTTTCCAGGGAGTGACACCCACCCCACTTTCCACCTCTCACTTCCCAGCCACCTCCAAACCACTCTCAGAGCTTGGCCCATGCTTTTGGGGAGCTGCCCTGAGCTTCTTTTGCTGAAGGTGGGCAGATGTTGGGGCACTGGGTGCTCTGCCATCAAGCCAGGGCCCTTTCTGCTCATTTTGCACTTAAAAAACCCCAAGCACCTACTTGTTCTCACAGCTATCCAAGCCCTTGGCCCACCTTCTGGGCCACGATCGCCTTCCCTGGCAGCAGCAGGTCGTGAGCCCTTCAGGATGCAATTTGCTTGGGCACCGAGTGCCTCCTACCTTGGCGTGCAGGGAGTCGGGGGACTCCAGGAGCAGCAGCAGCTCGGAGTTGTCGATCTCCAGCAGCATCCCCGTGATCTTGCCGGCCAGGGAGGGATGCAGGGCGTGGATCAGAGGGTAGAGGCGCTCACCTGCTCCAGACACCAGGGAGGACATCAGCACTGCGCAAGGCCTCCAGCATTTCCAGAGCCAGTGCGAGCCTCCTGCCCTCTCTGCTGAAGTGGGGCACAGAGGTGGCGATGGAACAATCTCTGCTGACGAGGGAGCCTGCTCCAGCAGGCCACGGTGCCCACGGGTGGGGAAGCTGCCAGGCACAGGCAACAGCAGCAGCAGCACCCTCCACGGGAGCAGGGCAGGGCGGTGGAGAGTGCTGCCCATGCCTGCCTGCCAGCACACATGTGAGGGAGCATGGGAGGGTCCTGCTCCTGCAGGGGCATTTTCCTCCTGGGGAGGGAGGAGCTGGTCCAGGGCCTGCTGTGCTTTTGCCCTCCCTGCACCAATAATACAGACAGGGAGTGGGTTTGCTGCTTCCATACCCTTCCAACACAGCCCAGATTTATATTTTAATTTTTTTTTTTAAGCAGCAGAATATCAGAGCAACTGCACAAAGGCTTACAGCTTCTCCTAGCAGCTAAGCTTTCCCTGGTGCATGCAAGGCCACGTGTCCTGGAATGCCTGCACAGGCCCACGAGCTGGACCTAGCCCAGCAGAGCAGCTGTGACACCCACCTATCATTTGCTTCTGCTCCTGAGGAGGGGCTTGTCAGAGGCTCCTGCCCCTGGACGTGTACAGCAGGTTCCCCCACCTGCAGACAGAGACGAGAAGAGCAGTGATCAAAGGCTGGAAGAGATGTGGGAATTCCCTGACTCGCAGAAACGGTGCTGGTCCCCAAAAGCACCAGGGCATTGAACCCTCCCCAGAGGCTGATGCAGACTCTGGCATTGCCCATTTATACCCAAATGCCAACTTCCAGGAGGGCCAGAGCCGCATGGCTGCCAGCTCCACAGCCCCAGCTCCCCCAGCAGTGCCCTCCTCGCAGCAGCCCCGGGGGTGCCAGGGCAGCAGGGGCAGCAGGGGCAGGGCTGCTGGCCGGGGCTC